TGTGGGAAAGCGAACAAGTTATATCGATCCGCGAGTATTCCGAGTGGTAACTCGGTTGGCGCAACTCTGACGCACAAGGACAATCGGCCACTACATTAGCGCTCTGTCTGCGGTTCCGCGACTGTTTCCGAAAGAAGTTCCCGCTCCCAATAAAAACAAAGGACCTTTAAAAAAGTTTCTCAAACTTCGCTTCGCTCCTCGATGGAGAAAGGGAAAAAAGAAGAGAAGGGTTGAGAGGGAATTAATTTAATCGGACGTGCGATTCGCGAAAACAAGTAGCCAACTTCGTAGATTATTTTCTCCGATTCAGAGGCAGTTATTTACGAGTTTAGTTACGTAATAAAGGACGTATCTGGCAATCTGTGAAATTCGTTTCAACGAGCTTTATTCTTTATAACGAAAGCTACCGTTTTGCGAGCTCTATTTTTTCCCTTTTTTTTTTTTTTTTTTTTTTTTTTTTAAATAACGAAAGTCACGTGCGAATATCGCGTGAGAAAGATCGACGTTATTTACGATGTTCGATATTTCTGATAAATAGCAACGAAAAGAGAGAAAGAGAGAAAAAGAGAGAATTGGAGGAGATCGAAATTTTATCGATAACGACCAATAATATGTGAGAATCGAGCGCTCGAAGGTACCATTATTTTCGACGAGATGCCGAGATAGGCGTCGCGATTTCGGCTATCAGAGACATTTCTATCAGTTCATCCTGATGACCACGGCACGATAAGCCGGCTTACAATTAGTCCTGCTTCAGTCATTATTCCGCCTAAGTAATTAAGAACGATTTTAAACTAGGGTCGCTGTATCGTTATTGGGATAACGGGTACTTTACATTTTTATGAAATACTGTCCAAGATTCATCCTCTGATAATGCGACGGAATAACGAAGGGTACGATTATCTTGCATTTATTGTACAAATACCAACAAAAATCAACGTATTTTCAACTCTATAAGTAATTGGATTATAAACAACAACGTTTAAGACGTAGAATTTATAGATTTTCTTGAGTTAGACTTTTCTTTCTCAGAAATTGCATACTTTTTTCCATATCAGCGATATCCTTAATTTTTAACTTTATTTTAAAGTTTCATCCAACTTGTTTTGTCTGTCTTTCCAATTTTTTTTTTCGTTCGAGCACGTAACTTTCTAGATCTAATAATTTTCTAACGTCTATTTGCAAACGTCGATATTTAATGCAGACTAACGATTTTAAATTACACAGGCTTTCTTCTCAAATAAATTAAAATAAATTACTATCGCGTTAGTTATAAAGTGTACGGGCTATGAATTGGAATTAAATGAGCTGTTAAAAGGCAGTTTGTGCATGATCAATTCTGGAGTAAATTAGTTTCCAAAGACCTTTGAGTTTGAGAGTGAATGTGTCAAGCACAGACTTCAATTTAATCGTGTAGTTTTTCAAGAAGCAAGCACTGCAAAGAGACACGAGAGTTGTCTTGAGAATTGTGATTTAAACGTTCTGAAAAATTCGTTTATTGTCTCGCGGAGTAGCTATCTACTTCGAAGACACTTACTTAGAACAGAGGCGCATGATGATTCAAACAATTTCAATTTGCGCCGAATGCGCCGGCTTAGAGAAGTTTCCTTTGAAAGCGACTCCTTGTACTTTTACACGTTTTTACATTTCGCCGTAAAAGACACGCTGTGTTTTTACTCGTTTCTACTCGTCTTTCCGCGCGACGCTTCTAAAGTGGCAAGACTCGAGAGGGTTTTTGCCAAGGCTGTTTTCCCGATTCTCTTCGTGGCATCCTCCTCGTGCTAAATCCGTAGCTTGTCGGGCTTTTAAGTAAACTTTCCAAAGTAACAGCTGTATAAATAATCAAAATGGAACGCACGATTCCATTGTGTGTTCTGTACATATATATCTTTTTTCTTTTTCTATACAATTGAAAAATCATCAAGTTTGAACTAAGAACGTGAGAAATTCATGAAACTCGCAATTGTCGAAATTTTTCCTCAGTCACGATATTTCGTACTACTACTCGTGACTCTAAAACCTTACAATGATTTATTTCTTCTTCGATTATAAAAATTATTGAAAAAGTCGTCAAGTTTGACTCTTAAGAATGTAATTATTAAAGTTTCAATTCTAAACTAGCGGAGATATTTTGCTACTTAAAGAGTCGAGGTTTCTGAGACCTTTCAAACTGGAGGATCTTTTCATGCCGGTTGATTAAAAAAGACTGCTATTTCTTCCTTTTTTTGTTTGTTTGTTTATAATAACGGAATTTGAGCAAACGAGTCAGCGACTTTTGACGCCGAGTATTTTTTTCTCCGTGGCATTGGCGCATTTGAACCTAGCCGCGATTAATGATCTCCATTTAGAATGTAGCTGTAGGATGGCGAGGTGGTTGGTGAAGCGTGCATCAAACGGGATTAAAGAGCGAAACGAGAAACGTTTGGACAGCTCTATCAGTTGAGAAAAATGTGCACGCTGTGTGCATGACTTCCACTCTGCATTTTCGTCCCTTTTTTTTCACGCAATATCGTGTCCTTTGTTTCCACGAAAGCTGGCTGCAACCTTATTGCCTCGGTGCGACATTCTTTCACCGCCTTTCTTCTCGTCTCCCTCGCGTCTTCTGTGGACAATTTCGTTTTGTTTCTTTGACGCGTGACAGGTTAATTTCGATTCATTCAATTAATCGTTACTATCCCTATAAATTGTCGTCAGTTAGATGGCAGACTGTTTTTTATCGATAGAGAAAGGGAAGCAGAAATAATTTTTCATTTCATTTGCCGACTCGTAAAGATTAATTATGATCAATTTACGAAATTTCACCGAGGATACGAGTCAATTTTCAATTCTGCCAAAGGGAAAAAAGAGAAGCAGAACTGATACGTAAAGATTAATCTTGTTTAATTTACAAATTGTTATTGGCGACACAAAGGTTAGTTTTCAATTTATTCCAAATTGTCGCTGGCGTTGCGTGGCACGCAGTTTTTAATTGATAGAAAGAGAGAAACAGATGTAATTTTTTATTTCATTTGCTGACTCGCAAAGATTGATTACCATCGAATCACGAGTTTCGATTGACGGTACAAGAGTCAGTTTTTATCTGGTGAAAGAAAGAGAAGTAGAGTCGACGTGTAAATATTAATCTCAATTAATTTACAAATTGCTATTGGCAATGTGCAAGGATTAGACTTCTCAATTAGCGGGGAGGAAGGAAAAGAAAAATAACAGAAACGTTTCCTCCCTATCAAAAGACGAATAAAATATACAGAATGTCTTCTCGCTGAAAATAGCATTAAGACGTCCAGGAGGGGTTAATTACAAGGAAATACGATAAAGCAGACGAGAAGCGTTTCGTCGAGACGCTGGAAAATTTATGCGGGCCGCAGAGAACCGGGTTGAAACGCCGGAGAGAAGGATGCAAACCGAAATGGTTGGCAGCACACCGTGTATTTTAAGTATTCCGATTATCCAAAACGTTCCAGATATCTCTCGTTAACTCAACTGCTCCGAATATCTCTGGAATTCTCTTTCTCCCTCCTTATTTTTTCGGCTGGTTGTAAATTTTGAGTACCGATTAAAAAATTTTCAATTATTCTCGAAACATTCTTCTCGAACGCTGGATGGTGGAACGTTCGCTCTTCGAAAAAGACGGATATCTTTGGATGGTAAAGGGAACGCGCAATTCAACAAGTTGTTGGTTAAAAAAGAATTTGCATTTTTATTACAGTGACATATGTATATGTTACAGTACACAGCATGTGGTACATCTGAGATCTTTCACGATGCAATCGAACATTTACGATACACACTTATCGACCGTTTCCCGGTTCTATTCGACGCGACGAGCAACGCTTGCCTATCGCGACTTCACAGAGACCAGCTTCTCTTCTTATCGCCTGAACTACTGAATTCGCTGGATATTACGCGACCTAATTTCCAATGTATTTCCCCCGATAACATCCGTGTCGTATATAGCCTATGATACAGCAAAGAGGTGCGATTAGTCCCACGGTATCAGTTATTCGTTTCCTTCCACGTTGCAACGACGATAATACCGTCAAACCGACACACTCGAAAAGTCGCGAACTCGAAGAATCAATACCGACCGTGCTTGATTCACCGTGTTCTCCTTGATTCACCACGAGGCGCGTGAAAACGTTCGTTTCTTCGTTTCATTCTCTCTTTCTCTTTCTGGCAAGTCGTTTGAATTTTAACCTCTACGTCGAGACAAGCGGAATCAATGCTCTCGTCCTAACTGAACTACATTTCGCTAAATGAAGAATCGTCGAAATTGTTCGCCTAAATCGTTTGAATTCCCCTCGTCGCCCGGAACTCGCTGTCCGTTCTCGCTGCGACGATTCGAAACTGTCCACCTATGTACATGTTTCACGATCCGCGAACGAGACGGTGTGTCTTCGCCGCGCGATTCATCATCGCCCGATAGGATGACTGGCTCTCTTGGTGCGGTTGCGAGCGGTAATTCGAGAACGCACTTACTCGAAACGACGCGTCGCATTGTCCGTTGCTGTCGCCGTTGCGTCTCGCGAACGGGTTTGCCGAGCCATTTAGAAAACACAATGCACTCGTGCTTCGCGCGAGTCCGAACGGGTCCTTGCGTACCGCGTTTCGTACTCGTAAATCGTCCAACAAACGCGCGACGCAGGTAACGCGTAATGAAATTCTCCGATTCTACGCGTGCCACCGATTCACCGAACGCACACGCGCGCGCACGCGCACACACACACAGATTTGCCTCGCAGCGTCTCTGTTACCATCCACCAGTCCACCGGGTAAAGCTACATCGAATTGAAAGTTAAGATTTCGTAGAAAATCACATATAAAATGCTCGGTTAACTAGATCGTTCACTTTTGTTGCGTTTGCACCGCACGCGCACAAACTTTTTTTCTTTTTCGCTCAAGTGTCTGTCTCTTCGTCTGGAGAGTCATTTTCGTTTCGTTTCGTTTCGTTTCGTTTCGTTTCGTTTCGGTTGATTAGGTTCTTCGAATTTGAGGATTCGCGAGATGAAAAAAACTGCCGCGAGCCGGGAGGTTTTCGCGTTTGACGGGGTAGACTCCAGGATGGAATGAAAATCCGTCCGAGTTTGCTCAAACGTTCGAAACCTCCACGCCTCGGGAGTTTTTTAACTTGTCTCATACATTCAGGTTAGTGTTGCCCATACTGTTGATGAAATTCGAGTGTTGACCGTCTTGGCTGGCCTGTCTGGCCGCGTGTCCAGCCTCGCCGCTCTGTATGCTGAAATGCCTGTAGGAAATGTACTCCGGAGGGATCGGCTGCTCCCTCTTCACCGTCTCTCTCTGTTTCTTCACCTTGAGATAGCCGAGGACGGACACGAGCAGCAAGAACACAACGAATCCCATGCAGCAGCCAACTATCAGCCCTAAACGTCTCGTCAGGAAATTGCTGACGCTACCGACGTCACCCATCGACGAACCGTCGCTGCTGATTACCGCGTCCGGTGCCTCCAAAGTCTTCACCTCGGTGCACCGGCTCGTAGACGAGTCTGTCATTTGCATATCCGACGACGACGACTCGAACGTCTCGTGGTTCGAGAAGTTAAATTGATCCACCGTGTCTTCTTCGAGACGTTGGCTCATCCAGTTGCCCAAGCCAAACACGCAGATCAAATACCGGGTGTTTGGAGAGAGCTTCGACAGTTTCGTCGAACGTGAATTCGGCTCCAGAATCTTCGCTCGGATCTGAAATTTTTCATCGCCGAAACATTGGCGCGATTAGATACTTTCGACGGGAACACGACACGCGCGTAGTAACTAATTTGTAGATCACACTTATGTATCTCCTTATTTAAGTTATCGAGTTTTCGCGAGTGTAGAATACAACACGCATAGAATAGAGTAAAAGTGACAAAAAAGGAGGAGAAGTACAAAGAAATCCAGGATCCACGTATTAGTTGCTACTACTACGTAAGCGCAAATCGACGGAAATCGCGTTACCTCTTCGATGTTTTCTATGGTGTGATATGCCACCTGGTAACCACGGATGCCAGAGTGATTTCTACTCTGCCAAGATACCAGAACCGAGAACGGTTGAATGTCCTGAATGGCGAGCTTCAAGACGAGGGGCGCGGAACAGAAAGCGTGCGGGTCCAGCTCTAGGAACACCAGCCCACGTAATTCCGGCGGCTGTTGGCACCTGAGTAATCCGTTGTCCATGTCGTTCATTCGCAATCCACCCCCTCGATTTCGTGTTACGCCACCGCCCACCAGCTTCTGATGATCACGCAGCCACTCCCAGAGCTCTTGAGACTCGCAACCGCAGTGCAATGGGTTCTCTGGTACCCGGAAAAACGTTTAATCTTGGTTAATTGCCGTTCCATGAGAAATGCATGAATATTACCGTCGTGCGCGGGCAGACTAATGCCGCCGTAATTTCAACAACAATTACGCTTTCCACGTGAAATTGAAATTTTCCTGGAAAAATTCTAAAAGTTGCAAAGTTCTTTTTAAATTCATCTCGGAATTTCTTTCGTCTACTTTGTTTTCGAAAGTTCGGAAGCTAGCCGTTTATATCATCGAGAATCGAACGTTACGAACTTAGAAAATTGAGAGAAATCGACGTTTCGAAACGTTTCAGTTTCAGTTTCTAAGAGAGTCCTATTCATATTTAGTCATCGACAATGTAATATCGACAAAACGTTGGAAGCCCATCTCGAGTTCTAAATCCGCATTGGGCCACGAAAGTCTCGAATCTGTGAACAATTGTAGTTCGTACGATACTGGAGAGAGAGAGAGAGAGAGAGAGAGAAAGTAGATTACCTTCGGCACGAAGACTTCGTATTTGCGTCTCCAGCGGTCGGAAGGCATTCAGCGGCAGATTTTCTAAATAATTCCTACTCAGATCGAGAATTCTCAGTTTCTTCAAGGGTTTGAACGCGTCCGGGGAAATGGAGGATATCCAGTTGCCGTAGAGATGAAGTTCCGCGAGGTTCTCGAGATGCTGGAACGTGCTCTTCCCCACACCGCCGATCTGATTATACGACAGATCGAGCACTTGTAGGGCCTTCAGATCGGGCGGGAAATCCTCGAGTTCTTTCAGCCGGTTGTGCGTGAGATTAAGTATCCGGAGATGTTCCAGTCCCTTTAATCTCTCTTGAGGCAGCAGCTCCAGCTCGTTCATGCTCAGGTCCAAGGTCAGCAGCTCGAGCAAACTGCGGAATGCGCTCGGCGATACCCGGGAGATCATGTTGTTGCCCATGAACAGGTGCATCAACGCCGGGAACGCCTCGAAGTCCTGGCTGGTAACGATCGTCAAGTTCGTTCCGGAGATGTGGATCTCTTGAAGCGCCGGGTACTTCGCTTTCGAACTAATCTCGTGTATCCTGACCAATGGATTGGCCGTGACGTTCAGCCAGGTTAAGTTGGGCACATTGTGCGCCGACAGGGCGACCGCCGGGATCTGATGAAATTTATTGGCGGCTAGCTCGACCTTGCGAAGTAAGTTAGACCGGGCGAAGAAGTTGGCCGGCAGCGCGGCTAGGTGATTGTGACTCAGATCTACGGATATCAGCCGAGAGAGGTTCACGCCGGCGAATCCCGAAAGGGTCATGATGTAATTACCGCGCAAATCTAATTCCCGCAGACTGGCCAGACCGTTTAACTTGGACATGTCGACGTTCACGATCACGTTGTTGGCCAACGATAGAAACTCGACGGTGGTGGCGTTCGCGAACACCTCGTACGGGATCTCTTGAAATCTATTGCCGTCCAGTCTCACTTCTTTCAGCGAGTCCAAGCCGAGGAAAAGCAGGCTGGGTAGCATTCGGAGCAGGTTGTTGCTCAGCAGAAGTTTGCCCAGATTCTTGTTCTTCGAGAATATCTCCGGCGGCATCCGGTACAGTTGGGAAGAGTCCATGGCCAGGTGTTGAAGCGACGGTAGTCCGTCCAAAGAGTTTCCGTTGATCAGACTGAAATTGTTGTAGGATATTCTCAACACTCTGAGCCCCGGTATGTCCAGACGATCCAGCGTAGACGCAGTGAGATGATTGTGCTCCAGGTTCAATTCGTAGAGGTTGTTCAATCCTCGGAAAGCTCCGTTCTCGATCACGCTGACGGTACAGTTCTTGAGATTCAACGTCCTGATTGGCAAACCCTCTTGGAAGATCTTGTCGTGCAGCACGTTCAGATGATTGTTGGCCAGATCGAGCACGCGAAGCCGCTTCAAAGCGGTCAACGCGTAGGGATCCAGGCGACGCAGCCCGTTGTCCTGCAGATAAAGTTCCTCGAGCTCGTGTAACTCGGAGAACGTTCGTACGGTGACGTGGCTCAAACGGTTCATACTCAGCTCGAGGAACTTGAGCGCCTGCATCGGTTGAAAGGCGGTGTCCTCGATCCGCGAGATGGAATTATTCGTTAGATATAATCGCTCGACCAGCAACAGGTCCCGGAATAAAGGAGCCTGCAGCCGGGTTAATCTGTTGTGACCGAGCCACATGATCCTCACCGACGCTTGCCCTCTCAGAGAGTCGTTGTGCAGAACGCCGAGGCCGTTGTTGTCCAACTGAATGGAGACCAACGAGCTGCCGCTGTTTCCATTTTGTCCGACGTCGTTCGACACTTGGAACACGTCGCCCAACACCGCCAGCAGATTGCCTTGAAGATTCACGTGCTGGAGGCTGTGCAACGACCTCAAAGCGCCCGTCTCCATGTCCGTTATCGCGTTATTCTGCAGATGAAGCTCCAACAGCGACGGCAGAGGCGCGAACACGCCTCGCTTCACCTCGGTAATTTGATTGTCCTGAAGTCGCAGCTCTCTTAACGACTTGGCTTTCGCGAAAGTTCCCACCTCCAGTTCGCGGATGTTGTTCCCGTCGAGGGACAGAGTCGAGAGATTGTCGCAGTGCTCGAGAAAGTCTCGCGGCACTTTCTCGATGTAGTTTCCGCTCAGGTGCAGCTGCGTCAGTTGGCTCAGCGTTGCCAGTCCGCGTGCGTCGATCCTCCTTATCGCGTTCTGCTGAAGGTACACCACCGACAAGCTCGTACTCCCGGCGAACGTCTCGGCCGGTATCTCGAGAATGTTGTTCTCTGCGAGGAACAGTTCCTTCAATTCCGGCAGCTTGGAAAACACGCCGCGGATGTAATGTATGTGATTGTTGCTGAGATCGATCGATCTCAGCCTTTGGTTCGCTCTGAACGTCGACACGTCCAGCGACACGATCTTGTTGTGACTGAGATCGATGGACTCGAGATCGATCAGCGATATGAACGCGTCCTTGTCGACGAACTCGACCGCGTTGTAGTAGAGGGACAGAGTCTTCAGGGACGGACAACAGCGAAAACAGTTGAGCGGTATCTTTTTGAAATTGTTGCTAGTTAGATCGAGAAAGTTTAGTGCGTCCAATCTCGAGTATCCGTCTTCCGGTAGCTCGGACACCTCGTTCCACGCGAGCCTCAGCGAGGTCAGGTGCTCCAATCTTCTCAATGACGTCATCGGGAACACTCTGATTTTATTCTCCGCTAGATTCAAATCCGTGAGAGTGTCTTCCAGACCGGCGAACGCGTACTCCGATATTTTTATTATCTGATTGCCCTTCAGGTTCAATTTAATCAGCGACAGCCCGTAGAAGCTGTAACTGGGCAGCTCGTGCACCAGATTCGCCTCCAAATCGAGAGCTTTCAACGAGCTCAGCGTCGCCATCGCCTTCTGCGGCACGTGCGGAAGCCGGCCGAATACCAGCGCTAACGATTCCAAGCTTTTGCTCAGCCGGTTGAACGCGTCCTCGCTTATCTCGCGGATCGCCGAGTGCGATATCTGCAGATGCCTGATTTGAGAGCCAGCCGGGAACGCGACCGATCGAAGCTCCTCCACTCTTCTGTCTAGCTCGTAAACGCTCAGCGATTGAACTGTCGCTCCTGCAACAGTCGTTATCGTATAATAATTCACTCGTGCTTGCTTACATACTTGCCGACAACACGGTTGCGTAACGTTGCACGTACAATGGGTCGCGTCGTACAATGGATAGTCTAAGCTACTCTCGGATTCGTGACATTCTTCGTTTGCGTAAAAAGCGAGCGCGCACCGAGATAAACCGACAGAGAGTTACCCGAGATCACTTAATTGAGAACACGATCCGAAACGTATCCGTTTGGACAATTATTCCGAGCCGCGTTGAATGCGGGAGCCCGGTTAATCGAGTCTCGGGACAAAGGAAAGGGGGAGGGAGAGGGAGGAGAATTTCCCGAGCCCGCGGCGGAAACGAAATCCCTTATTTATCCTAATATATTCCTCTGTCACGGAGGAGGTGGTTTCCGCACGTACGTACGTACCTTCGCCTTCGGTCGCGTGTATTACACCGGACAAGGCGGTCCTGAGGGATTCCTCGGTGGCCCCGGCACATTCCAGGAACAGTCCGTCCTCGAAATTGTAACAAGGGCAGCCAGGTATCGTGTCGGGCGGCGGACACTTGGCGCTCCTCGCTTCCTGCGCTGCCATGCAAGCCGCCAACACCACCGAGTAGATGAAACGAAAACCGTCGCGGTTGCCACGAGGCTCGTGTCCGCCACGCGACGAGCTCGAGTCCCGCCACTTGCGCCTCGTCCGCGGCCAAGTCGTCCACATATTATTATTATCGCGCCGCTCCGGTCCCGGTTCGTCCCAATCCTCTCATCGTTTCTCACGACCACACTCGATCTTGCTCTGCCGTGCCCCTGCAAACGTGTTGTTCAATTTGTAAGTTCGCTCACCACTCGTCTCAGTTTCTCTTTCTCTTAAGCTTACGATCTATGAAACTTTTATACTTCCATGTCGCTGGTAACACGAAAAAATGTTAGACACAATGTTAAAGCATACATCACAAGTACCAATTTCAAACCTTCTTTCGTTCGCTATAATTTTGCAAATTCACACCGTAGTTACGGTGTAGAGAGAAAAGTCTCCCTGTTTGGAGCAGTTCATCAATTAAAAATTTTAGGACGTCTCTTATCTTCGAGAAAATATGGCATAGATAGTGAACCTCAAATTTCGTGCATTGCATTGAATAATCTCACTGGTCTCGCAAACAGTCTTAAATCGATGGAACTCGTCTAGCTGCTTACTATTCCTAACATCTCTCACGTTCAATAATCAAACCTTCGATAGCCGATAATTGCATAACTCGGAGTCACTAATCATCGTGATTCATTTGCATAATCTCACGCACGCACTCCGAGTACCAGCCATAAATCAAAAGCAGAATAGCTTTGAATTAATTGCGTTCCTCTAAAAACACATCCCGTCCCGGGTGATAGGGAAGTGAATTACGCGGGAAAAATTCAGGAGCTCAACAGACTCCTGAATTCCGTAATTCTAAGCAAATATTACTTGAACAAATTCACGAATGCGTTCACGATTTTAGAGGCCTCGAGCCAAATTCTTGGCCGCGAAGCTTCCGTTTTTAACGTGTTTTCTCTCACGGTAGCAGTCAGTTGGAAACGTTACGAGAGTTGATTGTTCTGTAATGGTAGGTTAATAGCTCAGTGGCGTGCCACGTGTTATCAGATATTCCCTGTGACTCTGTGTTTCTTTTCTTTTTTCGCATACACTCTATCTCGGTTCGATGTGTTTCTTTGCGTCGAAGTCGGGGGACGAGGAATTTGTAGTACATTCAATAGCGAGTAGAGATTAGTACGAAACGAGTCGTGTTCGAAGTGGAGTAATCGATTCTTCAACGCCCGACGGAATATACGATTCGTATATTTCACACTATCGCGCGACGTATTGTTCGTATGCAGTTCGAAAGAGCACGTGTTGTCCGCTCGAGTATAGAACTCCACGTTTCGTGACAAAGTTAAGTCTCTACTTTCGCTTTTATCCCCCGTATTCTCGAGACTTTTTTCTTGAAATCATAGTCCGTGTGTGTATGTATATGCATACGTTCTAGATGGATGGCCAATGTGCGTGAAAAACTATTCCACGAAAATGTTAATGCGTCGGTAATGTTGATAAAGGAGGTTATCCACTCACGCAAGCTTTTTTTCGTGCGTAATTCCGTGTGCTTACCAGCGGGATCTCGTTTCACCCGCGGCTTGTTGGACGTAAATATTCTTGGTACGTTTTTACGACGTTGCGTAGGTTCGTTTGGAGAATCGTCAGTTCGATGATCGAGATAACTTATCAGCATTATAAACCTCGGTGTGTAATTTCCACCTCTATACCGTGATAATCTTGCCGTGCCCGTCATTTGCATAACGAAGCGATGGAATATAATACGAGATAGAATCGTGCGTAACGCGGAAAGTAGAACGAGTCTGTTATCGGTCAGACGCAACGCGATGCGAATTTACTCGCGAAGACGGAATAGGGGCTATCGCGCGGACAAATATTGATCATAACTCGATTAAAAGGTGAGAACAGCGCGCGATTCGGTAAACGAAGTCTTGGGTTGTAAATGTACCTACAACTTGAATCGTAGTACATCGGCGGAATAGGTTCGTCAGCGAGTAAATACACCCTGCCATGCGGGGTATTTCAGCAAGTAGAATCGTACCTTGAATAGACAAATACAAGCGAGGCTGCACTTGACACAGCAAGTAGAACGAGATGGTCTTCTCGGACGAATACGGCTGCCAGCCAGCATAAACGGCCAGATGGAGTATAACCGTTCGTCGTTAGGCAAATAGACTGCGACTGTACTCCGATTCAGCGAGTAAAGAAGATCTGTTTACGACCCTTCGAAAGTATGCGGAAATTGTGGCCTGTCGTTGTAAAAACTATCCTAAACGCACTGTGAGAAAATTTGGAAAACTCTCGGAGAAATCTCGAGTATTCCTTTTTCTTTTGGATAGAATTTTAGCAATTTGCTTCTATTCCTAACTAAGAAAGTTCTCGATCAGATAGCATTCGGAAATATTGAAATCTTTGTAAAATATAAACTATTATTGATTATTGATATTTGCAGGAAACTTTCAAAACCTCGAGTCGTTTTAATCAACAACTTTTTGCCAGAGACGGCACAGATCTCATGTATAAATACGATTATTCGTCACAACTATAATTATTTAATTGTCTGGGATTAAATTAGGAAATCGCTCGACTAAACAATTACTTATTTACTCCTCTATAATTCTTGCAGATAGTTGTCGCATATCTTATTTTCCGCCTTTCTTATTAAAATTTAAATCGGTCATTTTAGATTAGATTAATCTCTAATATAAATGAGCAAGTTTGTACATATTTCACAATATATTTTCTGTTTTCCTCGGACAAATATACTTGGACATCCAGATTGCATTAGCAAGTAAACCAGACTCGTTTACGAGTCTAAATTCGTACACATACCAAAGTTACGATACGCTATCTAAATACACCTTTAAAACATAAAACGCACATACGTTTTGCAATATATTCCCTTCTCGGTGTCGTTATGCAAATATGTGAAAGACGTATCATTCGATATCAAAAGTTTCATATATCAGCCACGGATTTCCGCGTCTCGGTTTGCTCTCCGGTTCGTACAAAGAGACTCGTGATCCCCGAGATCAGTTGCTCGTAATTTAATGCCCGATGGTAAATCTTCCGGGGCTGGAACGCTGTCACGCGGCCCGCGATGACCGCGCTACGTTTGGAAAAATACGGCCGGATCGGCCGGCTGTCGTTGGACAGGATTTTCAGAAAAAGACGTTCGATGGTAGCCGCGCGGAAGGAGTCGTGTGTGAAGGCGTGTATGCTCGGAAATACTCGGGGAGCTTTGGCATGCGCGCGCGAGCTCGATGTAAGTTCCCTTCGGGTTATGTTCTACACCGAGTTAAGGGAAACAAGTTTGTTAGGGGTTGCGTTTACCGCAGGTTAGCTGCTCCGTAGAACCGGGCAGTGAAGTAGAAAAATCAATATTTTCTCCGGCGTTACGAGTGCCTAGCGCTTTGAGCTTTTAATTAATGCACACGCGTAATGCGGGCTTTTAATCATTGCCGGTGGCACGCGACTTGGTACGGTCCTGGCCTGATTACGCGTGGGCAACGCGCTGTTTATTAATATGATTTTTAGCAGGAGGGGTGTGTGTGTTTCGTGCTGCTAATGTTCCGACGTTGCCGGCTTACGCGTGGATTTCATTCGCAATTAGAGTTAAGTGTTTCTTTGGAATTTCCGTTCGCGTGGGACCGAAACAGGAAGTAGAAGGCTAGATTCGATATTTCCTATTTTTATTCGCGTGCGTTCTACCTCATACAGTGCGTTCTCTCTATCTCTCTCTCTTTCTCTCTCTCTTGTAAAGTTTATACGAGTTGTTAGCGGAGCAACCAGCTTGTTCGCAGTCATTCGAGATTGCGAATTCGAATTCTCGCTAGATAGAAGAGATCTCGGCCGGCGATAAATTGGCCTCCATTAATTTTCAATTGCAAGACGCTCGAGTAGAATAAGCAATCGAAGAAAGAGAGAGAGAGAGAGAGAAAATTTCGCAACTTTTCCGAAGAACGTAGCCTCTGGAGCATTTAAAGTTTAAGTCGGAGCCTTGACTCAGCCAGCCAGTTTCGAATAAAAATTTCCCGGCCAAAGAGGACTAATCTTGAAAGAGGACTATTTAACTTTCCCGTTGCCAACGGCGAATCGTTCGAAACCAGATTTCCATAAAGCTCGTACCTCGGCGCGAATTTCTGCGGTCGTTACCTATTATGGCTGTTGTTTTAGTTTCTTGGGATTGATCACGTTTTAACACATTCGCGACCGACGGACTTTAGAAAGACCGTCTCCCATAGTCAATAATATTTGCGCTATCGGTCTTGAATCACGTCAGTTCACTTTCCAAATAATCGTTCCAGGAACGATCTTTTAGAACACGACGGATTTCATTGTGACAAAAGTTTTTCAATCTTCGCAGAGACGTTTGGATCTTTAAAATTTTCGACCTTCTTATCTACTACGTAACGTAAAAATATCTGTGAAGAAAAAACAATTTGAGACTTTACGGCTCAAGTAGATTATATGATTTTGTTTCGTTGGTGCACTTACGCTATTCACTCTACAGTGGGAAGAAAGTGCAAACCAATTACCGAGAAATTCAATTTTCTATGGAACGATCTTTAAAGAGCGTGGTCGTCTTCGAGAGATTGAACGAGAAATTTTGGGTGATACGTGAAACGTAGCGTGCACGCGCGATAGTTACACACACGTGACTATCTTAATGATTGTGTCGTTTCATTCCTCGTTTCGCCGGCTATTAATGCCATCAAAAGCGGGTACAGGTGTCGTGGGCGGTGGGATGATACCGAAAATGGAGTCTCGCCGCTTGCTTCTCGTCCAGGGAACGCCTCGTATGAGGAAGGATCGAAATATGGCGAGGTTTAATAAAGGACATACTGGCTTCACCTGTGAGCCCAAGCAGCATTGCGAGAGACACTCGTGCCGCATTTAATTAAACGTCGCTGCAACGCTTAATCTCTAAACTGCATTCGCTAGGTCGAAACACGCCAGACAAAATTGAATTCTTTCCTCGGTGTGTACGGTCTGGATTCCGTCGCATCGGTCTAGTTTATCGTCGTGTCTCGAAGAAACGGTCCGTCCAATTCGCCAACCTGACTTGCACTTACCTACGGTTTATTCAGGGTTCCACGTGTGGATTTCACACGAGCAGAAGAGAGTCGATAAATATCGACAGTGAATACCGGGAACAACCGCGTCTTCCTGGCTCCGGTGCTTTCCACCGGTGGCCGGAATTTTTAAAATTGCAAATTTTACA